GCATGGACCGCCAGCGCGCGTGCGGCCGCGGGTGGCGAGGCCTGCGGCGGCCCGCCTGCCGCTCGGCGCGGCAAGGACCCTGGTGCCGCTGAATCTGCTGCTGGCTCCTGCGGCGCCGGGGCGGCCGGCGCGGCAGATGCCGCATCTACGCGAACCCCATCATCGTCTGCGCCGCAGCCGGCCGGCGCGCGCAGCGGCAGCAGCGCCGCCAGCCGCTCCCAGAACAGCGCCATCACCTCCTCGCCCGGCCGCGGCGCGCCCAGCGACACGACGCCGTGCAGCACGCCGGCCAGCTCCCGGCCCGTGGCGGTGCTCAGCAGGCGGCCGCCGGTGAGTGCGGCGTACGCGGCAGACCACCACGGGTCACCAGGTCGCCACCTCAGCACCCGCATGGTCCAGAGGATCTGAGAGACGTCAGCAGCGTTCGCGTTCGCGTTTGCGTACGCGTCGCCGTCGCCATCGGCGCAGCTGCTGGTGATGCCGCCGCCGCCCTGCCGTTGCGCCGGGCGCACCAGCTGCGAGTAGCTGGTCGCCTCGACGGCCCACATCCACGCGTCTGGCGGCCGCGCTGGCTGCAGCATGGCCGCGACTGCCGCCGCGGCCTGCGAGAGCTGCCGCGGCGTCAGGCGCTCTCTCTGCTCGTAAACGAGCGTCAGGGCGGCGCGCGCCTGGCGCGAGGTCGGCCGCAGCCGCACCCGCGCGAGCGCCTGCATCGACACCGCCAGCGCGTGGCCGTCCGGCGGCGCGCGGCGCAGCATGCACAGCACGCCGTCCGCGAGTGCCGCCAGGTCACGCGGCTGTAGCGGGCGCCGCCAGCGGCGCAGCGCCCACAGCAGGTTGGACGCCTCCTGGGGCCCCATGGCAGGCAGCTGCACCAGCGCTGACGCGACGAGCGCATCGATCCAGTCGCTGGGCGGGACGTACCCCAGCCGCGCGAGCGCCCAGCAGCAGATGCTGAGCTCGTCGGGCCGGAATGCCATCGGCCGCCCCTGCCGGCGCTGCTGCTGGCGGTGATTCTGGCGCTGCTGATGCTGCCGCTCGTGGCCTTGCCACTGCTGCTGCTGCTGCTGCTGCTGCCGCTGCTGCTGCTCGTGCTGCCGCTCGTGGCCTTGCCACTGCTGCTGCTCCTGCTGCTGCTGCTCCTGCTGCTGCTGCTGCTCCTGCTGCTGCTGCTGCTGCTGCTGCTGCTCCTGCTGCTGCTGCTGCTCACAGCTGTCGCTCCCCCGAACGCTTTCGCTCCGGCCGCTGCTGCCGCCCGCGGCCCCGCCTGTCACGGTGTCGTACACAAAGTACTGCTCCATCGCCAGCGCCGCGTCCCGCAGCCAGTCCGGCGGCGGCCGCGCGCCCAGAACGGCCAGCGCCCACAGCGTGTTGGCCAGGTCGCGCGGCGAGAACGCGTGCAGCCTGTCCCCCGACTCCGCAAGGAAGCTGCCCAGCCACCCGAAGCGCGGCAGGTAGCGGAGCGCCCCGAGCGCCCACATCAGCTGCGAGAGGGGGCCGGGGTGGAAGGCGACGAGGCGCGCCTCCGCTGCGGAGAGGTATGCCTCCATCCACTCTGGCGGCGGGCGGTGGCCAAGCCGCGCGAGGCCCCACAACACCGCCGAGAACTGCTGCGCCCTGAAGCCGCCGGCCCGCAGCAGCGCGAGCCGCGCCAGCCGCGACAGGTGGCCGTGGAGCGAGCGCCACCCAGGCGACGGCGACGCGCCGGGCGACGCGGCGCCTGCGGCGGGCGCGTCGTGGTGTCCGGGAGCGGCGCCCTGCTGCTGCGCGGACCGCACAGTCTGCACCACCAGCGCGCTGATTAACATAGGGTCCAGCCGCGCGGTCTCATCAAGCAGCAGCCGGCTGCAGTCCTGCCATGTCTCGCACGCCTGGATGGCGCCAAAAATGCGCGGGTCGGGCAGCGCGCCCCCTGCGCCGCGGCTGCTACTGTTTAGTTGCGCCGGCGGCGATGGCACCGATCGCGGCGCGGCGAGGGCATCCTCGCGGGCGCCTGTATCGAGCCGCGCAGCGCGGCGTGCCGCACGAGTGTGAACGCATCTGTCCCAGCCGCCGATGTCGCGGTGAGGTGCTGTAGGCACGCCAGCGCTGAGCGTGGCCGAGGACGGTACCCATTGCTGCCACCTTGGTATGCGAGGTGCCTGCATATAAAAGGGCACGCGTGACACCGTTGCAAAAGGCCGACCTCTAGGTTGTCGTGGCCCCACTATGCTGCCACGCATTTGTCGGCTAGAGTTTCCATCACCTGTATCATACGTAAGTCGTTGAGGCCAACTGGGATCAGATCATCGTTCAAGATCAATCAACCCGAGCACTGCGCTGCATATGCAGTCAAGCAGCAATACTATGGTAAGTGTGCTACAGTATTGTACATTCATCAACATCATCAGCCAGAAGGAACTGTGGCAATGGCTGTGTGAAGCACTTTGTCATCGCCGGAGGGCAGTGCGGCACTTTGGTGATGTTGACTGCCGGCGCTTGTGCCAAGCAGTAGGTCAGATGAAATCAGCCACACCTTCTAAAAAGGGCACAGCGCAGCAGAAAGGCACTGCGCTCCCAGCGTGCATCGCCGGTCTGGCAGCATCTCGACACGTGCTGCTGGCTGGCTTCCCCTGAAAATGTAGCACTTATCTTGTCAAGGCGCCTGTACGATCAGATAACAGGCCCTTGACGCTGTGTGTATGATAACAGGACAAATTTTCAGCAAACGCCAACATACCATTCAAGAATTTTGTTGAAACCTGGTTCGATCGCCACAATTTCCAGCGGCACACAGCGTCATGGCGCCCAGCCGGTGGCGGTCACATGTACTCACTCAGGGATGGCTGGTGGATCAACTTGGGACCTCAATCATTTTGACTCATCAAACCTCTGCCTGCAGGTCCACGCCATCCGGCACAAACCCAAACGACGTGTACACGCTCAGCGCGCTCTCGCCGCCGCCCCCATCCCCGCTGCGCCCTCCGCCCGAGATGGAGCCGTAGGTGATGCAGAGCTCCTCCCCCGCCTCCAGCCCCTGCACCTCGCCATCCACCTCGGGCGTCACGCACACCAGGACCCCTAGGCCATCGTCGCCGCTGCTGCTGCCGCCGCCCGATGACTCTGGGGCGACCCCTGAGACCCTACTGCCGGACTCATTGTTATCTCCAAGCACCAGCGGCCACGGCTTGCCGGCGCCATGCCTGTGATTGCAGCTGTCAATCAGCGGCGCCAGCGCGACGTCGTCGCCGCCGCCAAAGGCGCGGCTGACGACGTGCCCCATCCCCCAGGCCACCCCCGCCGCGTCCACGCCCAGCGCGTCCCCGTACGCCGCCGCGAGCGCCGCCGCGCGCGCGCGCGCCGCGGCGCCGGCCTGCTGCACGCTCGCCTCCCAGCCGCGCAGGGCGCCGGAGCTGAGCCCGCGGGCCGCCGCGAGCGCCCCCAGGTCTTCCGCGAGCCGCTCCTCCTCCAACATCCATGCACAGGGCGGCGTGTCAGGTAGGCTTTGGATGTAGGGCCACCAGTCCGAGCTCTGCCCCTTGGAACGCTCATGCGCGAGCAGCAGTGCCAGGCGCGACAGGCCGTCAACCTCGGAGACGGGCGGCGGCGAAGCGGGGCCCCCGGCCGCCGCCGCCGCCGCGGCGAGGAGCCACGCGAGCGGCCCGCCAGCGCCGCTGTTGGCCGCAAGCCCTTGCTGCTGCTGCTGCTGCGGCCGTCGGGTCGCATGCTCGTCAATGCGGCGCTGCAGGATGTCGGTTGCAGCTTCGGCGGTCATGTAGAGGGCCTCGGGTACGCGTATGGGTGGGTTGGCGGCGGCCTCCTGCCGGTTGTTGAGCGGGGTGCGATTTCAACGCAGGGCTGGGGGTTCTGCAAACCACGCTCGGGATGTTGCGAAGCTCGTGCAGAGATTGTGTTGTTTGCAAACCCCATGCAGGATTCGGGGCTGTGTTTGCAGCGCAGGCATTGTTCAGATGTGTTTGGTGCTACTAGATTGTAAGAGTGTAGCTCACGTCGGCGGTGATTGGGCGCGTGGCAACGACGCCGCGGGAGCCTGAGGGCGCAGCTGCTGTGATGACGAGGCGTTTATCCATATGGCCGCCATTGCACTGCGTACGGTTGGTCGAAGATTCTATCAAGGGCGGTCGGGCGCACAGAAGTGATGTTGAACGGACGGACGGCCACACTGCCGCGACCCATGCGCCGTCATGCCACCTGTAAGAGCAGTGCGAATATGCTGGCGCGCACCTCAACCCAGGAGCGAAGCTGCTCGCCAAGTGGGCAGATAGGCCAGCGGTCCTGCAGGGCCACAGCGGCTTTGCCGCTCTCAGCCAGGCGCGCCGACACCGCGCGGCGTTCGACTGGGCGCGGCCCTGCCCTGGCAATGCGTCTGTGCGAGCAGCACTGGCGCGCTGACAAGTGATTGATTCTCATGGTTACGAGCATCCGAAGAGCACTGGACGCGTGTCGAGCTGCTCAGGGGCAAGTCTTCGTCCGACCAGCGGCCCATAGGCCCCTTTCGGGACCCCAGAATGCGTCGTTAAGGTTAAGAAACAACCGAAACTGAATCGAAACCCTCTCAATCTTTCAAGATCCCGGAGGAGGCACTCGGGTTACAATTCGGTTGTTTTGGAACTTGAGGGGGCTGCTATAACATGCATGTGACAGACTGTGAGCAGATTTTTAGTAATGCAAATCAGATAACGCATGCATACGACCTTACCACGATCTACAAGCTTTGTTTTGTCCATAAGCACCAGCGGTTCGACAATCTCTGACATCATTTCGGTTATCTGTGACTTCATTGTTGCTGCGACAGAGGCGGAGCACCCGAACCGCGAGTGTGCGCAAGGCTGCTGCAGGCGTGCGCACCCCTCACAGCCACTACACACACTGCAGAAAGGCAGCACAAGAGCAAACCCAGGCCGTATCACGAGGATCAGACAAGGTCTCTGACGCTCATGTCGAGGCCGCTGGGCCTACGCCTCGCAGCAGCACTGCTCCGCGCGGCACGAGGGCTAGGGGACGGACAGCTTAGCCTGCGCGTGGCACCGAGCGGCAGCTGGGGCACCTTCACAGAGGATGCCTCGTCAGGCGTGGGTGAGAAATCGCTTGGGAGCGTGGGAGGTTTCAGGCTCAGAGGGCTCGTGTGTTGGAGGCAGCACAGCACTGTGGGGTGCGCACACATGAGCCCGCTTTCGAACGCACGTGCCCTGCTCGCGCAACGCACACACACACAAAGAGACACACACATGCACATGCGCACACGCATGCACGCACGTACGTGTGCACACACTGTGGCACCAGAACGTGCACGAACCAACTATGCAAGCCCAACACTCCCCCACAGGCTATCAACTGGAGTGCCTCGACGCAGCTGTGCCCGGCCTGGAGGAGGTTCCCAGCAGCTTCCCCCTGGACAGGCCCGCCCTGGCTCGTCTCATAAAGGCAAACTTCAGGGCCCACAGGGACACGGCCGCACAGCTCAGCGACGGGTACACTGCACTGGACCAGGTGGGCAGGGGAGGGCGCCGGGGGGGTGGAGTAGGCTCAGCCGCTGCAGCTTGCATCGTCGCTGCGGTGGACTCAATGGGAGGGCGGAGCCGAACTGTGCGCAAGCGGCTGCGCCCTGCTGCTGCACTGGGGCCGTGGCGGGGGGGTGTAGCCGTGCTACTGCTGCAAAAAGAGGCCTGCAGGGTCGCGGGGGCGGCGGAGAGGGGTATGAGGGTGTGGTGGGGCACACGCAAGGCTGCTGCTGCATTCGTGCGCAACCTGCCGACTGCAATATTCCACGCCTCTCACCCGGACCCCAGGGCTTTGCCGCGCTGCGCGCCATACCTGAGCAGCTCTACCTGGAGCAGTGCAGCAGCAGCAGTAACGCGGAGGGCGTGATTGTGGGTGCAACGCGAGGGGGGGGGGGGCGCTGGGTGGGATGGGCCGGCCGCGAGGCGGGTGCTCGCTGCGGATGCGTTCACCTACGCTTGATGTGGACACGGCGTGGGCTTGCAGCTGCAGCGGCGCGGCTTCCGCGCTCTTTCCTGTCGTTCTGTGTGGCTACAGCACCGGCGCTGCCCCTCAACAAGCACCTCATTTATTGCCGGGGCGCGCCAGGTCGACGTGACCTCAAAGTGGATGGGCACCACCGAGGAGCCGCCCACGGGGGAGGCGAAGCACGCCTTCTCATACAGGTCGGCCCCGGCGCGGCGCAGCGGCCCCTGCCCTCGATCCCAAGTCTGGGGCCCACTTGTTCGGGGAGTTGTGATCCATCGCATCGCTGTCCTTACTGCTCAGATCACGCCGATGCACGGTGCCTCGCCCGCTTGATCAGCCAGCACCGCTCGCCGCGGCCTCGCCCGTTGCTGCAGACACCCCTTGCGCCACACCCCGCTGCCACTCTTCTCTGGACAGGGTGCGCGTCACCAACGCGCGCAGCAGCCCCATCCAGGTGCTGGGCCGCAGCTGGGAGATATTCGACGCCAACTCAGCGCTGGGTGAGACCAATTGAACAATGCCGATAGAGTCAGGGGTTGGGCGTTCGCATACATCTGCGCAACCTCTTACCAGCATGTGTGTGCGCATGTGTGCGTGCGCGCGTGGATGTGCATGTGTACGTCAAAGGAGCGTGTCACCTGACACTGCGAGGCGCACCTCGGCCTGGTCGCATGAGCCCATGGCAGCTGCCCGATCTGCAGCAGTCTTCGGCGCCCATGCCGTTTGCCACGCGGGATTGCTTGCCCTGCTCATCAAAGGTCGCCCTGCGACCCATGGATCGCCCCGCCCTCCACCCCACCTCCCCCCCAAAAAAAAACCACTGCCGCCCACTGACCGCGTGCGCAGTCGGCCACATCCCCCTGAGCCCGGAGAATGCGATTGTGGGTCAGCAGCCGGTCATCCCCCCGGGCCGAACGTTTGAGTACGTCTCAGGGTCGGTGCTGTCGACGCCGTCCGGCACCATGCGCGGCCGCCTGGCCGTGGCGGAGCTCCGGGGGCTGCAGCAGTGGCGGCGCGGGGAGGACTGGTGGGCTGGCAGGGGGGCGGGAGGGTGGGGGGAGGGCTTGATATTTGGCGATGCAGGGAAATGGGCCCGCAGGCTGGCACGTGTTGCGGCTTGCGGGGCATACGCACGGGCGCCGTGTGTGGTGCTTGCGGGAGCTTGTAGTGATGGATGTAGAGCCTGCATGAGGGGCGCGTTCTTGGCTGCCGGCTGCTCCACTGCCACACGCCATGCTTGCGCCCCCTCCCTCCCCAGGTTCAAGGTGCCCATCGCGCCCTTCATGCTCGTGCGGCCGCAGAGCAGCGGCGGCGGTTAGGCGGCGCGACCGCTTCGAGCGTGGCTGGGTATTTCTAAGCTCAGTCTGGCACAGGAAAATTGGCCTTGGATGGACAGGGCCTATTGTGCAAATGGCACCCACTGCCACTTTGAACACTGCCACTTTGATCTTTTGATTGCGGTTGCCTTTTCGTGCGATCATCCAGTTGATTGCAGGTGTGTTGTGCAGATTTAGAGTTGTGCAGTGTGGTGCATGCAGCTGTGAGGTGTGTAACGCAAACGGCTCAATTGCAGACACAACAAGCTGCATCACGAACCCAACAATAGCCTGCCCTCAAACACTGACTGTGAGTGCACGAAGCCATTCAGTCCCAGTTCACGAACCAGCCTCTCTCCATCGCCGCCGGCCCCTCCTCCACGCCCTCCGGCGGCCGCATCTTCAAAACAGCCCCCTGGGGGCACGGCCCCAGCCCCTCGGCCCCCGGCCCCCACACCAACCGCGCCAGCACCTCGGCGCCCCGCGTCGCCATGCCCGGCCCGGGGCGCGAGAAGAGCCCGTGGTCTGCTATATACACCTCTCGCGCCGCGACGGCCGGCATGCCCCACCAGCCCGGCCGCGTCGAAAGTGCCAGGGCCTCCCCGAGCGCGTTGCCCGGGCTGCGGGAGCAGGGGCTGAGGACGAGCAGGTCAGGCGCGAACCGGATGACGTCAGACCACGTCACCCTCAGGGGCGGGTCGCCCGGCAGCTGGCCGGACGCGTCCTCGGCGCGGCAGACGGTGGCGATGAGGTCCGGGATCCACTGGCCGCCGAGGACAAAGGGGTCGAGCCCGCACAGCAGCAGCACGCGCGGGCGCCGCTGCCAAGGGCGGCCACGCCGCGAGGCGCCGCCGCTGCCGCCTGCGCTTTCCGCTGCGGCGGTTCTCTTGTCAGCTGCCAGCGCAGCCTCAGCGGCGCTCGCGACGGCCGCCTGGCGCCGCCGCAGGTCCGCCACGAGCGCC